CAAACTTTCTCTTGATCGGAAATAGGAAACCTTAGCTCCCTTTTCAAGCAACTTTTTCTTGTGCTGTCTTGATGCTAAGATATCTGAAGATTTTTTGGATGGTCCCAAATCATTCAACTCATGTCTATTTTCACCAGACTAGTATTTCCAAATTTGAAAATGAAAAATCATTGAAAATTTACACTGGAATTACAACTGAATGAGGCAGCGTTTATTTCTCTTGTAATATCCTGACGTTTCTACCAATTACTTGAATGATGGAAATACCAAATTGAAATTTACCAAGTGTTCCCTCCATAAATTTTCCACATACTGCCTACACACTTGTGAGGAGCCCATGATTTATCTTGGTTACCGATTTTCAATTTAAAATATACTAAATAGGTTTGTCTGATAAATGTATTCATGTTTGTTCTTTGACGGAACGGTAAAATTGGATAAACATCATATATATCGAAAACGAATTAGGGTTGCACTGGTGGATCACTTCCTTGTGTCATCACTTCTTCATGGTAAGTAGTGGGATGTTACGTTGCATGGTCTCTTGAGACGTACAATAGCGTATCGATTTCGCATCAAAATTTAGCATAAAATCTTCAAAAGATCATATCAACTGCATTGTTAAGACTGCTAATATGATATGTATGTTAAATTGAAGCTTAAAGATTCTAGTTTATGATGTGATATAACAACTATTAGAAAATATTATTGAAGCTTCCAGGAAAGGATTGTTAAAGAAGAAACTGCCAAATTTCAAAAATCAAAAATAGTACGAAATTTTGAAAAACCATACGATCTGTGTTTTTAAGAATTATGATATGGTATGTATGTTAAATTGAAGCTTAAAGATTCTAGTTTATGATATGATATAAAAATTAAACGATAATATTATTAAAATTTAAGGGAAAATATATTAAGGAAGAAATTGTTAAATAAATTTGTTAAATTTATGAATAAAACGAAATTTGAATAAATCATATCGACTGCATTTTGATGAATCTTGATATGATATCTGTTAAATTGAAGCTAAAAGATTCTAATTTATGATATAATATAAAAATTATGAGATAATATTATTGAAATTAACAGGAAAACATTATTAAAGAAGAAATTGTCAAATTTTTAAATAAAAAATAATGGGAAATTTTCAGAAATCAGATGGACTGTATTTTGAAGGATCATGATATGATACATATGTTAAATGAAATCTCAAAGATTCTAGTTTATATGATATAAAAATTATAAGACGAAATTTTCAGAAAAAAATGATTAAAGAAAAAATTGTCAAAGTTATAAATCTAACTTAACAAGGAAATTTTCAAAAAATCATGTCCATCGTATTTTTAAGAGTCATGATATGATATGTCTGTTAAATTATAGCTTCAAAATTCTAGTTTATGAGATGATATAAGAATTATAAGATAATATTATTGAAATTAACAGAAAAAAATGATTAAAGAAAAATTGTCAAATTTATAAATCAATAATAACGCGAAATTTTCAAAAAATCATATCGACTATATTTTGAAGAATCATGACATGATATGTGTGTTAAATAGAATCTCAAAGATTCTAGTTTATGATATGACATAAAAATTATAAGACAATATTATTGCAATTTCCAGAAAAAAATGATTAAAGAAAAAATTGTCAAAGTTATAAATCTAACTTAACAAGGAAATTTTGAAAAAATTATGTTCACCGTATTTTTAAGACTCATGATATGCTATGTCTATTAAATTGTAGCATGAAGATTCTAGTTCATGAGATGATATAAAAATTATAAGACAATATTATTGAAATTAACAGAAAAAAATGAGAAATTGTCAAATTTGCAAATCAAAAATAACACGAAATTTTCAAAAAATCACATGGACTGTATTTTGAAGACTCATGATATGATACATACGTTAAATTAAATCTCAAAAATTCTAGTTTATGATATGACATAAAAATTATAAGACAATATTATTGAAATTTCCAGAAAAAAATTATTAAAGAAAACATTGTCAAAGTTATAAATCTAACTTAACAAAGAAATTTTTAAAAAATCATGTCCACCGTATTTTTAAGACTTATGATATGATATGTCTGTTAAATTGTAGCTTGAAGATTCTAGTTTATGAGATGATATAAAAATTATAAGATAATATTATTGAAATTAACAGAAAAAAATGATTAAAGAAGAAATTGTCAAATTTATAAATCAAAAATAAGGCGAAATTTTCAAAAAATCATATCGACTGTATTTTGAAGACTCATGACTCATGATATGATACATATGTTAAATTAAATCTCAAAGATTCTAGTTTATGATATGATATCAAAATTATAAGACGATATTATTAAAATTTCCAAAAAAAAATGATTAGAGACAAAATTGTCAAAGTTATAAATCTAACTTAACAAGGAAATTTTCAAAACATCATGTCCACCGTATTTTTAAGAGTTATGATATGTCTGTTAAATTGTAGCTTCATGATTCTAGTTTATGAGATGATATAAGAATTATAAGATAATATTATTGAAATTAACAAAAAAACATGATTAAAGAAGAAATTGTCTAATTTATAAATCAAAAATAACTCATAATTTTCAAAAATCGTATCGACTATATTTTGAAGAATCATGATATGATATGCATGTTTAATTGAATCTCAAAGATTCTAGTTTATGATATGATATAAAAATTATAAGACAATATTATTAAAATTTCCAGAAAAAAGTGATTAAAGAAAAAACTGTTAAATTTATAAATCCAACTTAACAAGGAAATTTTCAAAAAATTATGTCCACCGTATTTTGAAGAGTCATGGTATGTCTGTTAAATTGTAGCTTGAAGATTCTAGTTTATAAGATGATATAAAAATTGTAAGATAATATTATTGAAATTAACAGAAAAAAATGATTAAAGAAGAAATTATTAATCCAAATATCAAAACTAACGCGAAATTTTCAAAAAATCGTATAGACTGTATTTTGAAGAATGATGATACGATATGTATGTTACATTGAAGCTTAAAAATTCTACTTTATGATGTAATATAAAAATTATAAAACAACATTGAAATTTTCAGAAAAAAACGATTAAAGAAGAAATTATCAAATTTATAAATTTAACTTAACAAGAAATTTTAAAAAAGGTCATATGATATGTATGCTACCTTGAAGCTTAAAGAATCTTTACACAAATTAGAATCTAATTTGTGATATAAAAGTTATCAGATAATATTATTGAAACTAATTGAAAAAAATTATTAAACAAAAAAATTGTCAAATTTATAAATCTATATTTTCAAGAGTCATGATATGATATGTCTGTTAAATTGTAGCTTGAAGATTCTAGTTTATGAGATGATATAAGATAATATTATTGTTGCACATGTCGCAAAACTGGTTGTTTTCGATCTGACGTGTACAAAAGTCACATACTAGGCAGAGAACGCTATACGAGAACGGGATATGAATTGGAGTGCACTATCGTATTTAACAGGAAAGTGTCCGCTTATAAGAGATGATTTCAATAGTTGATAGTACGGATGGAGAAGGAGTCTCTTTTATTTGACTTATAAGCCTCTGTGCCACATCTTATCAAATCTTGGAGATATGCTGATGAAAACTGCAGAACTAATATCTTTTAGAATTTAGATCCTTATTGATTTGGTTGATTAGTTATTTTCCTCTTTTATAAATCGTATTGATCTCTTGACATACAGCTTTTCGAATATCTTAGAGAGTAACTAGGTAATCTTTCTGGCATTTTCCTAGTTTATGAATCTTTAGCAATTGTCTTTTTACAGCAATTTTTTCTTTAACTGATGAAGAAATTACTTCTTTCCCTAGTGGTATTTCATTCTATATGCTTTGTCAAGTTAACCACCCCAGTTTCCATGCGCAGATCAAATTTTAAGAAGTCAGTAACTATCGGCCAATATGTTGTTTCGCCAGTACATATTTACTGTATTTTGTAGAAATATTTTGAATTCTCAAGTGTGTCTTTGTGAGATTTGGATAAATGAATTCTGTGGACAACCCTCTGTGGGTCTTGGCTTGTTCCAGCATCTATCGTCATTTCAATCGGTTAGAAGACATCCCTCTCCAATAGTCGATGCGAAGGGTATAATTAGTTGCATCAGTGGAAATAACCATGAATTGAAATGAAGCCATACTTGAATGAAGTGATGCAGTTGTCGTTGTGGGTCATCCTCTGTTCCTGCGATTATTGCTGCATTGTCTATATGCCAGCTCTATTAGTACCCATCACGTACCCCATATTTAAAGATATTACTTCCTCTATGATTTTATCCATCAACTCATGTATTATCTTTATTATGTTAGCACGTTCCTTCTTTTAAGATATTTATGAAGTCCGCCAGATGGAAATTTGCAGACTAACCCCAATGCATGTGACCTACCTTTATTTTCTTGGCCGTCTAGGTCACCTAACTTAACCACCTACGATTTCTTTCTTTGGAAGCACGTAAACTACAAAATATATAAAATATCTTGTAGAAAAGAAACTCTAAAGATAATTATAGGATCACCCTGATACTTTTTCCTGATGATGGCTTTGTTATGTATTTGAAAGAAAAAACTAACATAAAACCAAGACTTCTTAATCAATAAAAAATTAAATAACATTTTTCCTTATTTTTATTTCTACTTTGATGCTAATTTCGGTTGTTAAAAGCCATAATCAGTCAAAAATTACGAAAAATGTAAACTTCATTTAATTTTCGAAACTTTATTTTATTTTATTTACAATTGTGCATTAACAGCCGAAACTAGTTCCAAGTAAACATAAAAATAAATCATCCAATAAGCCTTATAAATATTCTATTAAACTATTTCTTATTTTTGTATTAAAGGTCATCTCACATCGTAAATAGTATTATAAATTAAATTCGGTTTTTCTCTAATTACTTTAACATATTTCACGGGTTGATTAAAAATCAAATAAAAATTAAAAACGTAAATATCACTTTGGGACGAGTTCTGACCTGCATCGCAAGATCCTACATTAGGATACCATTGTCCTGCACTGCACTGCGTGGTCTTCGTTTTACGTACTCCGTATGTATAAAAATTCTTACATTCGACATTCGCCACTGTGCCTTCGATTGCTGCTGAACAATTTACTGATTGGGAACCTCTTGTGCAATGCGCAACAAATGTTGAATCAATTAACGGTGGACACCCTTCTAAAAGATACAGAAATATTTAAAATAAGAGAATTACATAAAGAGTGGAGCAAGAAGCTGGAAACGCTTAATTTTATCGTAAATAAGTAGCTAGATTTATAAAATGATTGCAATATTTCCACATTTACTGTTTCTCGGACACATACTCGGTAATTAACATACACAAAAGTAACCGCGAACATGTCCCTTCATAATATTGGAGTAATAATGTCGGTATCATGTTGTATTTGGTCTAGAGTGAAGGTATGAAGGTATTTCGAGCAAACTCTCAGGAATAATCAATGTGTCCTTCATTCTATATCCATCTCATAGCGCTTACTGCCAAGGCCCAGCAATGTGTTGTTCGTATTTGGGTTGCTATGATATTAATTGTATTATCTCGCCCGCAAGCGACCTTAGCTTAATCAAATAAAATTATACATTTCCTATTTTAACTAAGGCCGAGGGGCAGCAATGTGCTGATAAATTTTGGGTTGGTATGATATTAATTGTGCTGCCTCGACCGCGAGCGACTTCGGCTTGTAATCTCAGCTAGACTTCAAAACTATATTCGATGCAGTAGCGAGCTCGTGAGAGTCGATAATTAAATGTTCTCTCGGTATCAAGCAAGATTCTTCCTGCATTATATATTCTGACGGAAAATAAGCCTCTTCACCCACCAAAACGAATGGTGTTGATCGGCCGTTTCCTTTGACTTATTACTTATATGTATGTCTGAATGTCAGAATCCTTGAAAATAGAAGAATCACCGCATTTGCCATATATACAATACAATATCTATATAAATAAACTTGTAATTTGCATCGCATATTGCAATTGAGAAAAAGTGCTTGTAGCTGAAATAAAGCGAACCGAATATGCTCCTGATTCAATTTTAATTTCTAGCAATCTAAAGCTCTAGGTGTAATTTGGAAATTGTTCGCTATTGTATATCACTTATCCCTAGTCAAAACCCCGACACTATTTCTCTTGTAATTGTTGTTCCGTAATTTGGAAATCATGACTTAAGAAATTACTTCCATAAACATATCCGCCCAAAATAAAAAGGATAATCTGGATTTTAATACCAGAATGTACCAAAATTTGACCATGATAATGGCAATTTAATTAATTATTATTTAAATAACCCTAAGGCAACCACAAACAAGTTAGTTTTTCATCAAGTTACTGAGTATGAGATCTTCACGATTTTTGAATCAGTAAAGAGCAACTCGGCTGGTCACGACGGGCAAAATAAGCACATGATTTCATTATGTCTTCCCTTTTTGCTACACTATGTCACACATATTTTTAATTATAGTTTAAATCATTCTGTTTTTCCCTCCTCGTGGAAAATTGCTCAAGTAATCCTTTTAAAAAAGAAATCTAACCCTACTGATTTAGCCGACCTACGACCCATATCGCTCCTACTTGTGTTATGAAAGGTGTTGGAGAAAGTGATAATGGGTCAACTACGTAATTTTATAAATAATAATAATTTATTACCTGAACATCAATCATTTTCAAGGGTTTTCAGGAGTATACCCCTCAAGCAACAGCGCTGCTAAAGGTTATTGATGATGTTCATGAAGCTATAAATGATAAATTGGGAACGGTGCTTGTATTGCTGGATTTCTCTAGGGCGTTCGATACTGTAAATCACGAACTTTTGCCAGCTATTTTAAAATCCAGTGGACTATCCCTATCTGCCTAAAATGTTTCAATCGTTCTTGTGTGACAGAAGGCAGAGAGTTGTATACAATAACACGAAATTTAATCTCCTTCCCATGGATTGCGGTGTTCCTCAGGGATCAAGCATTAGCCCTATATTGTTTGCATTATATACGTCGCGAATTGGTGAGTGTCTTGATTATGTACAAAGTCACTTTTATGCCGATGACACGCAACTATATTTATCTTTTCGTCCAGAATCGGTGGATTTGGCGTGTGCCCATTTTAATTCTGATCTTAACAATATTTCGGAATGTGCGCAACAACATTCTCTTAAAATTAGTACACAGTATTGCCCCCAAACTTAAAATAGTTGAATGGCTCAATATGGCAAATCGACGACAGTTACATGGTGCTGTGTTGTACAACAAAATCCTCGTACAAAAAACTCCGCCCTACTTTTGCCGTAAGATTCGATTTAGATCAGATATTCAATGCATCAATGTCGGATATCGGGGACTACTAGATGTGTCATTAATGTACCAAAACATAGAACAGAATCTTTCAAACACTCTCTCACGTACAATGTGTCATTAATTTGGAATAAATTGCCAACAGAATGCCGTCAATTAAGTAACAAAAATTTTAAAAACAAATTACATCGCTATTTGCTGACTCAGCAATGTGAGCACCAGGAATCCCATTTTATATGACTGTCTACCTCTGCGGGGGAGAATAAAATAAAATAGAAAGTCGCTTTGCTTTTTCTGAGTAAATTTACATAATTATACATTTTTTTTTAATTTTTCTATTTTTTTGGGCCTCGACCGAATTTAATAATTTAATTTACCAATTGGATTTTTTATTTTGCTGCCTTTTGTTTTTTTTTTTTTTTTATTTCTTAAATTTACTCCCTTTTTGTATACATATATAGTTTTTATGTTTTAATCGCACTTCGTCGATTATGTAACTCTAATTGTGTTTGCTTTAGAGAGAAATAATTTGAAAATAATAATTATTATTATTATATTTAGGATATTTAAGTCTTCAAAAAAATGGAAAAATATTAGGGACTCTTTTCAAAGAGAGCAACGGCTCTAGACATTCTTTCAACTTTTCACCACAATACCACCTTTTCGTATAAGTAAGTATTATTGTATATTACGGCAGCGAAGATACATGTTTACAGGATCTGAAAAATAGATGTCGAGGCACCTTGTAGCCGAGGAGCTACATTCTAGACCTTTTCCCTTTCAGGACCGAGCCGTATACATATAATAATAGATATAAGATTGACACTGTTGACAATTGTACGAGGTTTTTTTACGTATTTTATTTTTTGTATAAACAACACATCACTTGACTACAGTTTTATTTGTTGTTTAATTTTTGCGGTTTACCGATAGAAAGTGCCTGGCAGTTAAAAGGGAGAGTGCGATTCATCAGATCTCCAGCTTTTTATACATACATTTCTCAGCACCACCTCTATATATTTGCGTATAAGTGATTTGACTAGTTCTCTTTGAAAATCTAGCAAATTGATATTATTCGTACATTTCATTTTGTATAAGGCTTATAAATTGAGAATAACTTGACAGATTTTCTTACAGAATTTGTAGCGTTAGCTTTATCAAAATCTTTTACTTCTGCTAATACTCCGCTATAAATTATGAAGTCTAAAATGTAGTAAGTTTCGCAGCCTACAATTACAGGAATTGTATACGGTAATTTTATCGTGCGAATTTATCCCTACACGTGCCTCCAATACTGCGTGTAGATACTGCTTTGGTATACAAAGCAGTTTTTATTTTGCGTATATATACGGTCTTGGTCCTTAAAGGATTAACGATAAAACGCGATTGATGTAATGTAGCGACCCCGGCTTCTTTCTTTCAACTAGTGACATCAATTCTTCGTGACCTTATCATACAAATAAGTATTATACATACGTTAAGGCAAAAGGCTCTGAAAGATAGAGGCCACGGCGCTACAATCTATACTGTTAAGGATAATGCGCGATGGAGGCAACGCCTCGGACACAAGCACCCTCAGCTTCGTAGCATCAGATGAAGAAATAAAAATTTCTGACACCTACATTGGGAAGCAACAACGCAGAATCCAGTATACTAGATTCGCCTGAGACTGAGACAAATAATAATGGCAATTCAGAACTATCTGCAACCCCGCAAATTAGATCAAAGAGAAAGAGAGAAAAAATATGTGTACAAAATGGTTCAAACTCCGATCAGATGTTTCTTTTTATCATTGTCAGATGACTTACAAAATATTCCCCATTGCTGCAAATGGGTGTTATAGAATATCATCCACGTTCTACTACTATTTCAAGTGCTCGATCTTTTGATAACTCTACAGATCAACCTCGTGTCAGTTTTCAACAGGTGCAATCACTGGTAACAGAACAGTTATAATTAATTTTTTTGGTGTCCAGTGTCATGCTTAATTCTCATATGGGATAATGGTGCTATTTATATCCAGAGGCGGTGGATGTTTTTGAAGTGTATTTATAAAATTGGTATGGATACATATAGGTTCGGTTAACTTTATTCTTCACTTTTTGGTTTCTCGAGTATTGCATTTTTGGCGGTTTGTAGTTTTCCAGTGAATAATTCCTGATCTTTTTACACTGCAAGTAGTGCGGTGTCATCTGCATATCTGCCCACCGTAGTCCCCTCCACCTCTAGTAGCCGCGCCAAAAGTCAAGGCCCCTCAATTTAGAGATCGATATCTTCGCAAAAGTTTTATGATAGAAATAGCAGTAAAGTTTGTTGTAATCAATGAACATTTGCGTGAATTTGAAAATTTTCGGCTACGCGGTTTTTTTTGAAGGTGCCAGCACCCATCAGACCTATTGGCGCCTGATAGTCTTCTTCTGATTTCTAGAAAAATGTTTTATTGGTGAGAAAAAGAAGGCTACCATCATCAAGAAATGATGACATTACGAAGAGTGGTTCAGGCATGTGTTGGCCATAATTCCTGCGAAATCTGTTATTCTGATAGACCAAGCCCCATATTATGTTGGATCCTAATTCTAGAAATCCAACTACCGTGTGGAAAAAAGGGTATATTACTGCATGGCTTCAGTAAAGGAATGTGCCGGTACCCGAAAATTATTTGATCAATCACCAGACCACAGCTTTTACAACTTTCACTCCCTCATCATTGTCAGATATGTTATCTGTTGGATTCTTTGGTACAACAAATTAGGTTCGGCAAGGTAGAATTGCTTTGGTTACCAGTAGCTCACTGTAAATTTAACGTAATTGAAGTAATATGGGCCTATGTTAAAAGTAAAATGGCAAGGAACCACAACACCTTTACAATAACTTTCTCAACTTGTGTCGAGATGCAATTGCTTCAGTTGAGGATAAATACATAGAAAAACATAATCTTATCGATACCGCTATGTACGAAGATCGCCGTAATATCCTTGTCTACGTTGTCTTTTGGAACCGACATCGAGAGAAGAGAGAATCGAAGAAAGAAAAGGTGGACAAATTTGCCGGTATACTAAAAAATGGGGTACTTTTTTTGTCGCGATAAATAGAAAACCACGGAGTTTATCCTTCTAAGTCTGAAGAGTCCGTCCGAGTCGTACGATGCTAATATCTCTATGTAATGTTTTGGGAACGCTTTGCTTAGTTTAGGTATCAAGCCTTCTTAACAACATCTAAGAAAATCGCGGTTTAGTAAGACGCCGTTATGTCGAAAACGGCTGGGTGGATTTCCTCGCGGATTTGACCAAACCATGTCAAATAATGTCGGTTGTCAGAGTCCGTTATCAGTTTTTCAAAATTAGATCTCCATAATTTTTTAAGTGCGATTTAATGGAATAAATTTAAATTAAAGAGAAATAGAAATAAGGTCTGCGGGGTGACGGGGGTTCCGTCCAATCGGAACAGATGGTGCGTGCCAGACAGGACGTCGCGTCTTATTTCTTTATGTAGGTAAGATAAAGGCGCGACGTACTGTCTGGGACGCACCATCTGTTCCGATTGAACGAAACCCTCCTCTCCCCGCATAGCTTATTTCTGTTTCTCTTTAATTTGTAATTCCATTAAATCGCTCTTAAAAAATTAGGGAGCCTTAAATTTGATATGATAACGGAATCCGACAACCGACATTATTTGACATATTTTGGTAAAAACCGCGTTGAAATCCGCCAGGTCGTTTTCGAAATAACCGCATCTTACTAAACCGCGATTTTCCGCGAAACTATATGGAATATCGAAAAAATAAAATAAGCACCATCCATATTTTATCCATTAAGAACACATCGGTTTACCACCAGTTCAAATTTGAAATTTTTTCGTCAAATAGTTTTGGAGAAAAAAGATCGCAAAGTAGACAAAGTTGTTGGCACTCTCAAAAATCGGGTACTTTTTTCATTTAACTGGCGATAAAAGAAAAACCACGGATCCGAAAATTCCCAAATTAAGATTTCCATCGAGCGGTTATGAAGATATTGATCTCTAAAGTGAGATGCCTTTACTTTTTGCAGGGATAGTAGTCTATTGTTGATGGCTTTTGCTCAAATTAATAATCAGGGATTTGGTTATTAATTGGCCTCAGTTTTTGCGCTTTAGCATCTTGAAGAACTTTGAGACTATGGATAATAGTTAAATCAATTTGTATGATTTGACGTCGTTAAGTTGTTTCATGATAACCTCTGCAACTTTTTAACACCCCTGTATATGTTTTAATATAAAGGCTGCATTGAATAGGTAGGTCAGCATGACTATAGCTTTTTTTAGGTAGGTGCTTAGGGATTTCCCAGTAATAAGATCGAATTTTGGAGTTTTCTTTGGATTCAGGTTAGTTCTTGTCTTATCTGCTACTTCTTTATAACTAACTGATGTGATATGATCCGATCTTTGGTTTTCAATATTGGTCATTTCTTAATCCAATTTTCAGCAAACAGCGTTACTTTGTGTCTGGACCATAGTTCATTATTGTTTCCAATAGGAAGAATAGGTTTCTTGATCTCATGGATTCTTGTTTAAACTTTCCTGAGTCTTCAGAATTTCTTTTCTAAGTTTCTTGGTCTTGTTAAATATTTCAGCTGCCTTTTCTAGTTGTTCATCCATTCTAAGACTAGAAGCTTTTGTTTAGTAGTTTTGTTAGTAAGAATAGCTGTGGTTGCCCTTTTTAGCATTCTTTCACTTAAGTGATTCATGTCAAAGTTCTCTTTATCTTCTATGAAGTGAGTGTAGTTACAGCTCCCCTCTTAGATTGCTTTCCTTAAATCTCTTCCTTTGGTCATGGTTAGTCTAAATCACTAAATCGCGTGCAGTTTCATATCAAAAGATAGGGTTGCACCCATCTGGATTTCCCCGGATATGTTCTACTTTCGAAGATGGTGCTATTAGGATGCTTGTAGATCTACAATAAAGCTTTGCATGGCATCTAAACTTTTGTTGTCGATTATAACGATATTTAGTCAAACCCTTAATAATACAGATGATTGACCTCGTATTGAAAAGGTTTAAAAATCGCAAAGTGACTTATGATACCAGAAAAACAGTAAATCTGGCAACGCTACGAATGTATAATCTGGAATCTTTGTATCCCAAATTTTGTACGACTCTGGCTACTTATTTAGTAAGATAGTAAATTAGGCGTTTCAAAGAGTTTTGTTCCACTCTGTATTAAAGAAAGGTGAATGAAAAGAAATGTTATTACTATAGCAAACATTGTCAGAAGTGTCTCCAAGCCATTTTCCATTTATACAATAAGCAACGCCGCCTCCTATTAAATTGGTAGGTCTATATCCAGGGTTACATTTAACCGTAATACTTGTCCCTTTATCTACTGGATCATTAGGAACATATTTGCGGCCGGTGGGAAAGTAACGTTGACCATTTGGTGGATGATTTAACAGACGACAACCGCCACTAAAAAATTAAAAAGAAAAAAACGATAAATAAAAAAACATCTGTGTAAGATTAAAAACATTTTCATACTCAGGTACATCACCGCCTGTAGATGGTGTAACTGGCACTACAACCGTTGTAACCGGCACTACAACTGATGTAACCGGAGGTGTTGAGTCACATCCAAATTCATCGGAACCGTCTGCACATTCTTTGATACCATTGCATCGTGAGTTTTTATCCACGCAAGCGCCATAATTACATTTGATCAAGAAAGAAGCGCATACGTTTCCTCTGCACGAATCCACCGTTTCATCCGAACCATCACTACAGTCTTTTCGACCATCGCATACTAAAAATGCGTTTATACACTCATCATTTTGGCAACGAAATTCAGTTGGGCTGAAATGAATATGTATGATTTAAAAAAATATATAATGTTGATTTTGTTGTATTACCTGCAAGCTGAAGAACCGGTTGTACAACCTTGTCCAGTTTCATCCGAATTATCAGCACAATCTTTAATACCATTACAGAGTTTTTCTTTGTTTATACAAGCTCCATAATTGCATTTAAATAAAAATGAAGGACATCTAAGTAAATAAAATAATTCGGTTAATTAAAAAAAATATTTTTTGCTTGAATCATTAGTTAACTAACGGAAGAGCAGAGCACATTTTCTCAGTTTCATCGGAACCATCCTTACACTCAACAGTGCCATCGCAAACATTATCCGTAGAAATGCAGTCTCCATTCGCACAATTAAATCTTCAAATTAAGAAAATTACAATTATTTTTTTGATATCATTTCGGCGTTGATTTGGAGTTGATTTGAACCATTTTTATAATACTTATAAAGGTTAATGATACTTTACCCACAGTTTTGTCTTTTTACTCTGCTTAATGTGGAATTATAACTAGGAAATTTCCAAAAATTGTGGGCTTCCGAAAATGAAATACCTAGAAATTTAAAAAACAATACGTAATATAAATATTAAAAAAATTAATGTATTCAAAAGTAAAGTTTTGGAAACTTTTTAAGCATCAAGATTGATTTATTGCAGGTTGAAGTATCAAAATGATCAAGATTTTAGTCAATCACCAAGTCAATCTGACTTAGTTCACCTGGAAGCTACGAGGATTGCTATTTCGATCGCCAGTGATGAAAAATCACTAATAATCGTCCTAAGCACAAAGAAAACGATCGATTTCCTCCATTTACATCTAACTAAGCAAGTTCATATGACTAACGATGCTCCGAAGACTAATTCAAATGTCTGAAAGACCATTTAAGAAACTTGCAAATCCATCACCTACCAAGTTAGTGCAGAAACCCAGCTATAATGGAAAAACTTAATAACGTTGTTATCGAGACCAAGCCCACATACTTGAAAATATGGGTTACGATATGGTGTAGGAATAATGAGCTCACTATTAATCCGAACAAAGTAGAAATAGTCCATTCAGTTGGAGAACGAAGCTTTAATTAAAAGTTCCATTGAAGAACTTAATTGAGTGATTATACAGATCTGCCATAGGCTCCTTAAAAGGAAGTGGGGTTTTAAACCACGACTGGCTCACTGGGCCTATGTGGCAATAATCAGATCCATGGTCGCCTCTGCTTCATTAGTTTGGTGGTCAAAAATAAATCACAAGGCAGTAGAACAACAGCTGACACAAATCCAGCGGCTTGCATGTCTTATAATAACGGGTGCAATGAGATCTTGCCCGATGGCTACTCTTGAAGATCTACTCGGTCTTACATCACTTCACTTGTATATACAAAAAGAAGCAGCTAGCTTTGTCACTAAAGCCATGCTCTTCACGCGAACCCATACCTAAACCACTTGATTCAAATTAAAACTGATCTTATACCCAAGAAATATAATTTCTATCAACCATATAGACTAGAATTTATGTTTGAGACCATTTAGTCATCCTCATGTTTGATGGACGAAGGGTGAACCTCAACTCAAAAGAGATTAAGATGCCCTAAAGCTGGGATACAATCATTTTTCATGCTGATGTTTTTGTCAGAAACTTCTACACCGTTTTGAACCAAGAAAAGGGTTAGGAAGGGGCACCGATAATCGTCTTTGCGGAGAGTTGGGTTGCCCTAAAGGCAATTCTTGTCTACACGTGAGAATCCGCAATAGTCAAGGAATGTACCGATAACCTAAGAAAACTCGCTAGGGATAATTAAGTTACTCTATAGTAGGTTTCAGATCACAAAGACATTGAGGGCAATGAAAAGGCGGGCAAGTCGACCAAAGAGCCAGCGAATATGCTCTTTATTGGACTCCAACCCGGCTGTAGACTATAAAAACGCCACTTCAAGCAGGTGATTAACACATGGGAGAACTCAAAGGAGCCCTTGCGCTGGAAAGGATATCCAGGCCACATGCAGGCGAAGAGTATGATAACTCCGTCGCAAAAGAAAACCAAAGAAGTTTTATACCTCAACAAAGAGGACTTAAGGTCGCTCTCTGATTTCCTGACCTGAGCTGAGGATCAAACTTATCGACTTTGCAACGACAAGTCAGAGACTACTGAACATATTCTTGGTGATACAAAACTTTCGGAAATGTTTGCTTGATACCTACTGACATAAACGAACAAGACTTTGGAATAATACTAAGGTTCAACAAAGACCTAGATCTGCCCTAAATCTAAAGAATTAAAAATTGGAGAAACAATTGCTTTTCGAAAAGGAAAAGTTTGTGGAATGATAAGAAAGATCTGTTAGCTATATCATTTACAGTGCATCAATAGTGAATGTAGAGAACTGCAAAGAAACAAAAAAACGTCAACTTGCGTTGGATTATAACCAGATCATCCTATGTTGGTTGTACCTTGAAAAAGAGGAAAAATAATATAAAAAGGCTTTCATTCACCTCTTAGGTCTGCCAATATTGAATGTATTAATCTTTACAAAAAATCTGGCTGTGAAACTCTCCATTACAAAATATAAAACTACCACGATTTCAAGAATAGACTCAATATATAAATACTCAATATATTGTACCTGGAATAACGTTACCCAACACACTATATCTGGAATCCCTGATCTAGCAAAGAATCTTGATCTGATAGAACATTCCATATGGCCATACTTAAAGTTATTTACCCTATTGAACAAAGATGACTTTGCACAATATCTCAAATGGATATTGTGCAATACACATAACCTAACCCAACATAATTTACCAGGAAGTCCTGGATATTAAATGCAATAGATGCTTGATATGAACAACGTAGTAATCATAATAATTAACTACAATTATTAATAAAACACTGCAGGAATTTATAATTTACACACTGTTGATACAGATGGAGTAGCAGAGGAAATTTTCAACAGTATCTGCACTTTTGGGCAATCACAATCTATGCGTTTCCTAGGTTTTTCTCGGTTAGTTATTCTCAAATCTTTCTTCTCGCCGTCTCGTTTGTTTTCAGTTTCGTAATTATCTGTATTATTATAGATCAGCGATTCCCAACCGGTGGGTCGCGACCCACAAGGGTGTCATATTTTACTTAAATAAGTTTGACTCAACGAAACTGTTGCTTATTATTTTTCTTCTTTGCAACAAATGAGCAAACGAACCTAGCTTCGAATCTAGTTTTATAATATATCGCACAAGTATAAGTGTTTGTGTATAGTGTTCTTAGATTACGTCTAAAACCGTCTGTTCTATTATTTACTGTTTTGGTAAGTAACAATATAAAATATTATTAATTCCAAATATTTAAACACTACTATTCTTTTAAATTTTCAGTGAAGATTTTATTTTAAAATTAAAATCATGGAGAAAAAGAAAATATTCTGAGAATTATTTAAAGTTTGGATTTACGGTCGTTATTAATAACGGGACAGAAGCGCCACAGTGTGTTTTATGCAATGCTGTTTTGAGTTCTGAGTCTATGAAACCTTCAAAACTTAAACGCCACTTAGAAACAAAACATTCCGAATATATTACTAAAGACTTGGACTTTTTTAAACGGCATGAGAGTGCCTTAAAACAACAAAAATTGGATTTTACTAGGTCGTTTCAACAACAAAACCGAGCTGTAGTTCAAGCATCATATGAAATTGCTTTGGAAGTTGCAAAAAATAAAAAAAACCATACAATTGCAGAAACCCTTATCAAACCCTGTTTATTAAAGTCCGTTAAGCTAATTCTTGGTGATGCGAGTGAGACTAAAATGCGTAATATATCCTTATTCAACAACACAATTCAAAGGCGCGTTTCAGACATGTCCAAAGACGTGTTGGAACAAATTTTATCTGAAATAAAGGCGTCTCCTGTGTTTTCAATTCAACTTGGCGAGTCCACTGACGTTAGTTCATGTTCCCAATTATTAGTTTTCGTAAGATATATTCACTCGGACCGTATCAAAGAAGAGTTTCTGTTTTGCAAACCCCTAAAAACAACTACGAAAGGTCAAAATGTCATGGATATGATAAGTTCGCTTTTTGAAAGTAATGATTTACAGTGGAAAAAATTACGTGGAATATGCACTGACGGAGCACCAGCAATGCTTGGATATAGTCTGGCTTTCAATCAAAAATTAATTGCACCGCAAGCAAAGGGAATACATTATATGATTCACCGATATACCCTTGCCAGTAAGACACTCCTCAAGCATTTGCAAGAAGTCCTCAACTCTTTGGTAACAATTGTCAATTACATAAAAAGTATTGCTCTGAATACGCGTTTGTTCAAGGAATTTTGCAAAGATATGAACTCAGATCATGAAGTTCTTCTCTTTTATACTGCTGTGCGTTGGTTGTCAAAAGGAAATGTTGTTGGCCGCGTATATGAATTGGAAAAAGAAATAAAAGAGTTTTTAGAATTAAAAGACAAACATGACCTTGTGTATTCATTTTAATAACAAGAATTGAATCCAAATGGTAGCGTATTTATCCGACATTTTAGATCAGCTAAACAACCTTCAAGCACTTGAGTGTGAAATCCAGCGTTATTTTCCAGAATTCTCTAAGCAAGAAGCTGCATTTGTGCGAAACCCTTTTCATGCTTTCATCGATATAACCGAAATTGAGACAGTAGCAGAGAGGGGAGGTAGAGATAGATAGATATATAAAGGCCAGGAGAAAATGCAAAGAGGGAGCTGAAGGAAAGGGAGGCTGAGAAGATTCGAAGATTAAGGAGTTGAAAGAGGAAAATGAGGTATGGAGATACTTAAAGAGGATGAGGAAGGTAATAAACGTGAAGGATGGGGATAATATGCCCACTGTATAAAAAGGAAAGTAAAGGGGTGGTGAGCAATTATAAAGGGATCACCCTGTTGGACACAACTTTCAAAATTTATGCAAAGATACTGCTGGGGAGGTTGGAAGAGGAAATGGAGAGGGGAGAATTGTTGCCGGGTGGGCAGGCAGGATTCAGGAAGGGAACAGGGGCAATTGACAATATATACATTCTGAAACACCTGGTAGATAGGGAGAAACAAGAAGGGGGGAAAGCTGTATACATTGTTTATTGACCTGAAGGTTGCATTCGATAACGTGGATAGAGAGAAGTTATGGGAGGAAATGAGGAAGAGTGGTATAACAGAACAATTGATAGGGAGGGTGAAGGAGATGTACAGGGAGGCGATGGCCAAGGTTAAAGTGGGGGAAGAGTTACGTGAGGTATTCTGGACGACAAAGCGATTGAGACAGGGGTGCCCGCTTAGTCCCACACTATTTGCAATATATACGGCGGACGTGGAAAAGAGACTTGCGATGGGGCAAATTGGTGGGGTGGTGATAAGAGCAACAAAGGTGCACGCCTTGGCGTACGCGGACGATTTGGTGGTCGTGGCTAGAGAGGCGGTGGAGATGAAGGAGATGATGAGGTCCCTGGAAAGATATTTTAAAGCGAAGGTGTTGGAGGTAAACGTCGAGAAAACAAAGATAATGAAGTTCTGCAAAGGGGGAAGAAGAAAGAAGGAGGAAT